GTCTACAGTCTACAGTCTACGGTCTACAGTCTACAGTCTACGGTCTATAGTCTACGGTCTACGGTCCACAGTCTACGGGCTAAGGTCTATGGTCTACGCTGTTTGTAGTTTGTCATTAAGAGGAAGGAAAAAAAAAGAACGTTTTTTTTTTTAGGAAAAACTAAAAGAATAATATTTTAAGGCCAAAGTAACTCTTCATCATTTCTTTCTTTACTGTGTGATCGACAAACGAAGTGAAAGTGAATGTTTGCTGCAAAAACGGACAACAGAGCTGCTGTACTGAAGACACAGGGCTTCATGAATATTTCAGTTTAATCATTTGTTAAACGTTAAAGATATTTCTCTGGACCTTGAACTGCACTGAAAAGAACAAATATGTTTTTATAAACGCTCTGTATCGTTATGATAAAAACTGCCGCAGCAATGAGCAGCAAACAGCTGTTGTGTCCTATTAATAAACCCAAGGAACATTTGTTCTCTATTTTTATAAACAATTCTTTAAAAATGAACAAAAAACTCACTGCACGTGTGTTTTGTTTTTATTTGTATTAAAAACCTTGATTTTAAATAATTAAATTTCCCGACTCAGAGGTAAATGTCGCTCGACATTCTATTTATATTAATCTGTTTTTGATGAGTTACTCACTTTTTTTACTGCTTTATTTTAGAATTGGAACAAAACTTGTCTTGTTTTTGATCCCGAAAACCTCCGTAGTCAACCTCTGAATCTTTAAACTGTTTTCACCCACTCTCTGTGTGAGTAACTTCACATATTATACCGTTAACAAAAGAGAGAAACCAGACCTTATTAGTTTGTAGATATTCGTTATAATCTCTTTTTAGTGAAGTTCATTACTGCTGTTTTCCTCTTTACTTTAAAGGTTTTATATTTTTTTTTATATATATTTTATATATTATATTATATATATGTCCTTACTAAGAAAAGACTGATTTTTTGGGGGGACTACTTTTTTCGTGAGGCAGCCACATCACACTGAGACAGTTCCAGGTTTCTAACGTCCTCCGTCAGCCAGAGGTCCTCGGTGGAGGAGACGAGGGACGTCATTAACGTTGTGTCCAACTCTACCAGGCGGACTGAAGCCTCACCTTCAGCCCCGGTGACACCGCCCTGGGCTGAAGACTAACAACGGCTGCAGCGGCCGACCAACTCAATTCAAACTGTTAACTCCTGAGTCTGTAAAAATGTAAAGTGTATCATTGTGTCTCAGACACACGGTCGTGGGTGGGTGGGTGGTGTAATACCTGTTTTCCTGGGGCAGGTCACTCTCATCCTCTGGGTGTGCAGGTTTATTGGGATGAACTCCAGGGATTTCTGGGCTTTGCAGCAGCTCGGCTTAAATGAGCGACCTGTAACGGCAGAGGTGAGAGTTTGTCACACAGTCATAAAAGAACAGAACTCAGAGGAAGACACTGAGGTCTCTGTTTGACCGTTTGGTGTTCAGGAGCGTCTGTACTGCCTGTTAATTTGGTTATTTAGAAGAAGAAGAAGAAAAGAGAGGGAGAGAGAGAGACACACACAGAGAGAGAGAGAATATGTTCACAATCATTAAACACAAAAAAAAGTTTGGAATTCTCCAGAAGGAAAAGAAAAAAACCAAACCGTTGTGTGCAGCTGACTCCAGATCTCTGACTGAACCAGTCACTGACATACAGGAAATACAATAGCACCTAATTAATATCTGATTAACTGGGAGGGTGAATGAAGTGCAGTCATTACTCAGTAACCGTGGTCTGGAGGGTTGGCGCTGCCTAATTGCTTTCAGTTTCAATCTGAAATGGTGAAAAACAATGTTCAAGAAAATTCATCCAAATGTTTCTTGGCTCCAGTGAGCGGCTGCTTACACGACTTCAGAAATCTTAACACCTAACCGGGATTTTACAACCAGGAGCAATCAGTTTGAAAGCAGCAGCGACAAACAAATCATTTCAATCAAAGTAAATTACAACCCAGTCTTCAGCTGGAGGTTTTTCATTCACCTAGTTTGAGGTGGAAACAATTTGTTTGTAATTTTCTGCATCTTCATCCACTGCTTACAAATATTAGAACGTTACATTATGCACCGCAGGGTCCCCAAGCCCTGGTCCGGGGACCAGTGCTGGTCCGTGGGTCATTTGATACCGGGCCGCACTTGGACACAGTGAAAAAACTTACTTCAGTTTCACTAATTTACTTCATTCATATCCCTTTACTTTTTTCATTCAAAGATAATCTGACGATGTTGCGAAACAACAGGTCAAAGGTCATTCGGGTCCACAGTAACGGCTGATACAGGTTCTTGGTACAAAAAAGGTCGGGGAACCGCTGATTTACTGCATGTTCAATAAGATTAAAACTCACAAGGACAATATTTACAAAACAGTACTAAGAGCAGAGACAGGTCCAAATGTCATTGGCCTTTATGACAGTATGGCATTCAAATGGGCGGCGTTGATTTGACAGATGTACTGAACACGGACCTCACTTTATAAAAACGAGGACGAACCCTTTACAAATGGACGATGACTCAAACCCTTTACTGAGAACATTTTCATAAAAGTCTGACCATCGTCAAAAACTCTGACGTTTGAGATGAAGGGCCAAGGTTTTTATATTTATGTACAACCTCCACTGTCTGACCATTAATGACCAGAGCAGACGAGGCCACAGGACTTTTAGTTAAAACCTAACGTCAGCTCTTTTTTTATTCCCTCACACAGTCGGGAAAAGAAAAGGTGACCCGGCGCAGATAATAAAGTCATCCATGACTGAGCCGGGTCTGGTGTCGGACTCGCTCGGGAGACGAATGATTACCGAGTTATTAGCAAACTTAACGACGTCAGGACAGATATGTTGGTTTTGACACGAGTAGAACAAGAGGAGAGAGAGAACGTCCAGCTGAGACTGGACCCTGACGAGGAGAAACACTGTTGAACGGGACATTAGATATCCAGTGTACATAGAAGAAGAAATCAGTGGTTTTCAAAGTGGGGGCGGCGCCCCCCTGTGGGACCTCAGGGAAGAAGAAGAAATTCGAATAATTATTTTTTCTTAAATGGGTTTTTTAACGGTTTGTCCTGAAACATAAAACAAACAAACTGCTGTAATGATCAGATTTTTTAAAGTTTATGATGGTACCTGAATGCACCATATCCTGCGTTAGCACACACATACATGCACTCATATATGCCTTATTATTTTGTAATAAAACATGGCCGCCACATCCTTACAAATCTTTTGGAGCTTGACATTAAAGACAAAACTGAATTTTTAAAATTACATTCAAGTAACTTACTCAGTATTTAAATATATTAAATATTAAAATACTAAAAGTCACATAGAGTATATTTATACTTTCACAAACCATATCTAATAAAATGTCGTTCCAGTTTAAGCTCCAGCTCCTGAACCAGGATTCAAAGGTTGAACCAGTTTTTACGTAATGACCGTATTAGACCACGCTGGTGTGGTAATGATGTCGGCATAATTACATTTGTTCATTTTAACGTCTGTGTAATATCTGTAAGTGTTTCACTTAATGTGTTAACGGTAATCAAATTCAAATATGTTAATCAGTCGACGGCTTTGATTGGCTGCTCGTGTACTGTCTGTACATTTGACCCCAGTGTGACCTCTACTGTAAAGAAGAAGGAAAAGTGTTCTCCTTATCGTATATGAAACGTAAACGTCAAAACATATATATATGTTTGACACAGTAAGTACTTTTTAAATTTCTCTCCCTGTGTCCCTGAATGCACCGTTCCCTTTTGTTCCAGTCTTTGTGTAGATACTGGCCTTTCATCTATTAAGATTTACAGATTTAACATTTATTTCCCTTCAGTCAAAGGTCAGTTTGGGGGTCACCATTTTTAGGTCAGACACTCCTTCTGACGCATTGCACCCTGGGATTTTTGAAGGCTAGCTGGCATCGCAGCCAGACCTCCTACAGGGCAGATTTATCACTGCAACAGTTAAATGTTTTTAAAAATCAGCAGCACAGCAGTTTTTCCCTCACTGTGGGGACACGAAGATCCATTTCATGCACAATAATCTCTGATTAGAACGCATTTAGAGATGAATTGTCAGAATCCCTGAGGTAGGAGAACATTTCACAGTTTCAGGCGAGTTACACGAGAAATTCCAGTCCATTAATTTTCGCCAGATCTCCCAAGCTCGCTCTGATTTGATGTTTTCTTTTCAGGCCTGGACTCTTCCAGTTTATTCAGAAGACTTAACTCCAACAGAAACTCGTGACCAGGATCCGGCTCACTGCTGCTGACTGCTGGAGTTTTTTTTTTTTTTTTTTAACCTCCTAATTTCATCCCTTCCCCATTGTTCCTTCCACCCTCGCTGGTCTCCATGATCCAGGAGCAGTGGAGCAGTGGAGCAGCTCCGCAGCAGTTTACTCCCACCTCAGAGTTAAACTGTGAGGACTCTTCAAGTCCTTCAACCAAGTCCTTAAATTATTAGAACGTCTCCAGTAAAACGATACATTATTAAGTCGAATTCTGGGGTAAACACTGCTGCTAAAATGTCATTACTTCCTGTTGCAGTTTATTATTAGACCATTACTGTCAGAAAAACATTACCTCTCACATCTGATTGAACAGGACTTCCTGCTTCAGTTCTTGGAATGAATGGGTAAAAATATTGAAGCAAAAAAAAAAAAAAGTTACTGAGTTACAGCCAACTCTGAAGGTCACGGCCCGCAGGGAGCTGGTGAGTGTTCTCAAGTCTCTGTTAGCTAACAGTCAAAACAGTGTTTGTGATAAATACTGAGGATTTACAATTACATCTGTCCAAACCAGATATTCAAAACAACAGAGAGCACCACAGTACAGTGACTGAGTCAAAGACCGGACCTGAGTCTGATCATAAATTCTGGATCGTGACCTGAGGTGACCTGGAGCTGTTCTCCCAACCTGACTGAGTTTTGGCATCAGTCAAATTCTATAATATTAACAAAGCCATTGATTATATATTAATTCACTGAATGTCGAATAAAAATAAAAGGAAAAATATAAATGTAATTGTTGTGGTTCATTAAGGAGGATTATTGGCTGAAAGGTTTGCAGTGAAGTAAAAGCGAGAACCAGAGGTGGGCGCTAACATTTAACTCCAACAGAATACCAGGAAGACAAAGAACAAGGTACACTACAGTACATCCACACTAATTAGTTTTTGACGCTTAAATAGTTGGGGTGAAGCTAAGCTATGTAGATAAATAGAGGGAGGGAGAGAGAGAGAGAGAGAGAGAGGGAGAGAGAGAGAGCTTAAAGGGGGAGATACCCAGAGCAGACTCCAAACCAATTTAGCAGTGTGGTCGAAGATGAAAAAACCTCCACTCCACCTGCATATGCTTCCCTGGATATACTGCTGAACACGCTGAAGCGCTCCAGCTAAAACGTAAAGCCTCAAAAACTGATAAAACTCAGCTCTGAATTAAAACATGATGTGGCTGAAAATGACTGACGGGGCGTTTTTTTTTTTTTTTAAAACGCCAACTTAGCGCTAATTGAATTGGATGACGTTTGAAAAACGTAATATTCAGTACATCCAGGGTTTTTTTTTTCCCTCCTAATTTCTGAATGTGTTCCACAAATGTGAATGTACTAGTGCTGTGACTCTCAACTCTGCAGGTAAAGACGAGTTAAATCTAATGTTAGTTCAACTCTTTAAAGTCTGTACTGTTTATGAAATCAGGTAGCAACAAAACTAAAACTACTACAACCAAAAAAAAAAAAAAATTCAGTACCCATATACCCAAAAGGTGAAAAGGTCAGCAGCTCCATCTGCAGTTCAGTGGTGCTGCATTCAAGGACCATCGGTCTTAGTTACCAGCTGAAAACAGTCTTTTGACACTGAACTAAACAGGTCTCCTCAGTTCACCCAGACGAGCGGTTACTAAAGGTTAATATTCCAATCAGTGGCTCAGCTGCCGTCACCGCTCACCGGGGTCTCACTGCAGGCAGCGCTGCCCTGGGGACGAGGCTAATCGAGCAAGTGACTGTTGTAGGTTAGATGAATTAGCCGTATCAGATTCCCATCTGTCTGCCCAGGTGGGCTGGCTGCGTGACAGACGGGCCAGATGCCAGGAGTACTGACCGCTATCTGGTCAGCATCTCCACTTTTAATCATTTGCGTCCTTTGTTTTCTCTTTACCATTTGTTTGGTACACGTTTGACTACTTCACATATATACATATATATGTATGTACACACACAGACACATATATAGAAATATATGTAGATATAGGTATACATATACATATACATACATATAAAGTTATATATATACACTTATATATACAGTATATACATATATACTGTACATATACCCACATACATATATGTACATGTATTTCTATATCTAAAAACAGACACATAAAACAGACACATATATAGAAATATATGTAGATATAGGTATACATATACATATACATACATATAAAGTTATATATATACACTTATATATACAGTATATACATATATACTGTACATATACCCACATACATATATGTACATGTATTTCTATATCTAAAAACAGACACATAAAACAGACACATATATAGAAATATATGTTCATATAGGTATATACACACAGGTGGTATACACAGGTATATGGTATATATATTTATATATATATATACACATATACACACACATATATGTACATATACTTCTATTTCTAAAAATATCATTTCAAGTGTGGCGCAACATGCATTGGTCCTTTATTGGACACATTCAGTTTACGTCTGTAATCGTTACATAAACTGTATTAACAAATTGTTTGTCCGGGCAATATATTGTCCATTTATGTTTTACGCTCTTGGTTTAATTGAGGCTGCACATGCTAACTCATGCTACGCTCCACTGTGGCCGTTCAGCTTCAGTTTGTTGTCTGATATTTGATGTGAATATTCAAGCTCTAATTGCACAAATAAGTTCTGTAATTTTTTTTGCCTCGCTGAACTTTTAGAGGAGATAAAGATTGATTTTGAAAACTTTCATGGTTTAACAAGTTAAACAAATTCGTCTCGTTCTGAGCCGTTAAATCATTTAAGAGTTTTTTTTTTTAAATATTCACAAAGAAAAACAGAAGTAAAAGGGACAGAAGCTGTTTTAAAAATGTTTATATAATAATTCGATCCGTGATGAGTTAAATGGAACATTATTGTAGGACTAATCTGGATGCTAATTAGTCATAATTAATAAGACAAATCAATACTCCTCAAAATGAACCTAAACCTGAAAAGATTTTTCCGGATATTACTGGGACAGAAAAACAAAGTTGGCAGTAGAATTAGCCGCTGAAGACACGCCGTAAAAATGTGCAAAGTGCAAAAGTGCAGAAAACCATGAAAGTGCAACAAACAGATTCTGTTTGTGCTTTAATTTGCTGTCTGTACTCAGCGGATGTACAGATAATTAATTCATGAAGAGCGAACAATTATTAGAGCGTCTCAAGTACTTGCTGAGTACAGCTCATCATTAAAAATGGATAGAGCACGGGAACTGAACACAATGTACTGTGATACTACTCTTTCTTTGTACTTGTGTGCAACATACAGCACGTCAACCTCCGAAATAATCACAAATCTGACATTCAATGTCGTGGAGGTGAGTTGAACATATTTCAGTCTCGGCCGTCGGTCGCATCAGGTGTCGATAATTCATCAGCGGTGACTTGTTTGCGCCTGTCATCGTGCTAAGGTAATACAGCTCATGATTAATGAGGTGAATTAGTTCGGTTGAAGCCTGTGTGTTTATCGAGACATTAAGGCCACGCGAGGTTTCTGTCAAGAACGATAATAAAGACCAACATCATCGAATCCATTTTCTCCTGTCGTCAGATCTGTTCCCTCTGAGGCCGACGGGACGAGAACCTCCTTCAACTCACTAAGACGGATGGGAAAACGAACAGGAACAAACTGTAATCTCACCACGTTGGTTCACCTTCATCTTCATCTTATTAAATATAACAAGAACTAAAAAAGAAAAGTCTCAAAAATGTGATATTCAACCTGATCTATGAACTAACATACATTAAAAAGAGTAAAATTTTTATACCCTGTAAAAGAGGTTCATTTAACTATTAACACAATGATAATAATAATAATAATAATAATAATAGTAAATAATTTTCATGTATAACAAGAAATGTTTTCTTGTTAAATTTCCTGACCGCATCAACTCCTCCTTCCTCACGTTGGCGCTCCACGCAGCAAATTTATGACCTACACCTTTAAGAAACAATGTACAAAAACATTTACATAGTGAGTGTAAAGCTGTAGGATTGTAAATGAGACGTGAGAGTCCCATTTACTGGAACATTACCTAAGATTTATACCGTTTTAACGTTGCGTACGAAGTGTTTACCTAAACAGAACACAAATGGTTCTGGAACTCTCTGACAAGCAGCAGGAACATGAATCAGTCTCTGACGAATCTTAACATCGACAGAGACTCACGCAGAACTTCAGAGATTCTCTCTCTGTGTCGGGATTTAGAGGGGTTTGATTTGTCAACAATGATCCAGACGTAACAGCGTGGATTAAAGTCACTGCACTTGACTTCATTAAATCTGAACTCAAATGACCTCTGCTGCCACACTGAGTCACATGACCTCTGAACAGGTGCAGATTACGGAGCCCAGGATTAACACAGAGGAACAAGAGTCACCCTAAAGTCTGATCCTGGAACATAAGAACCGATTTGGTTCCAATAATGACCTGGGAGTCCACAATTATCAATATTAGAACCGATCAATCCATTAACGTTTGGACAAATATCAGCGCTGTGATAATAGATTATATATAAGATGTGGACGTTGCTGTCTTCACTGCAGGCTAAGGTTGAAGTGGTAACAAAGTAGGAGTGTTTTTTGTTTGTTTGTTTGTTTGTTTGGAGCATCGCTGCGGAATGTTCCGATCAGTTCTTCAAACACATTCTAACGCTACCTTTGTTTGGAGCATCGTTGCGGAATGTTCCGACCAGTTCTTCAAACACATTCTAACGCTACGACAAACCAATCATGTTGCTGATTTTCAATTATGGGAAGGTTAGTTAGACACATTGATAGAAACAGCTGCAGGAGCAGACACGCCCATTATTTTGGATAATAACATATGAGAAACAATCATCGTGATGAGATTTTGGAGCAAAGAGTCGGCCGACCAAGAGTGAAACAAAGTACCTGGAACTGGGAGTATTACAAATGGACCAGTACACATGGGCTAACTTTGTGAAGTAATGTTCAAAACCACAGAGAAACGTAAACTAGTTCTTTTTCTGAGATGTTGCTCTGATCATGTGACCCATGTACTTTCAGAGTACAATCTCCTTACATTAGTGTTTCTAAAGTAACTTTGACATATATTTATTATTTATTATTTATTTATTAGTGTTTCTTAAAGTAACATTGACATATATTATATTTATATAATATAATATTTATATTTATTTTTGGATGGACCATCACAGTATATATATGTATGTATATATATGTGGATGAACCATCACAGCACACAAGTATATAGGAATTTTGAGCCAGCTCCTATTGGCAAAATTTGGAATTTTGAGCCAGCTCCTATTGGCCATCGGTGGTACTGCAGCTAAAACAACGCATTAGAGTAGAATAACAAAACCGTTTTTTTTTATTCAAAATGAATTCATTTGTTATTGTGTGTAATAAGATACAGACATATACAGCGGGGCTCCCTCTTTAAAGGTAAAGTGCTAGCTGTTTCTATAGCAACAAGTCAGCGACCACAGTCAGCAACACAGAGAACAGATGGAGTCGTACCTGAAGTCTTGTCCATTTCAGCCAGCGTCTCCTGGTAGGAGCTGATGACTCCTCCGTATCTGGTCATCACCTCCTTCCTTAGGTTGTCCCAGTGAGGGGACAGCTCCCCCAGCTCCTTCAGGTCCTGCATCCTACAGGTGAACACAGACTTCGTTACAAGCTGTGGTTGAAATTCTCTCACCTCATCAAAAAAATAAAATGTCACCTATTTTTTATGTGTGTAGTGAAGGCGTACGTAATAAAAAAAACATCGATTCCTCGTGGACACGATTGTGGAGAAGACTCATCGAAGGTTAATGAGAACATTCATCTATAGATTGTACAGTACACTGTGTACTGTGGTGTAACGTACCACGCAGTACAATAACCTGGAGTCGAAGTAACAGTATTTATTTTTCTGGTTTCTGCTACAACAAATGAAACAAAAGTCAATTTGAACAAAACCAGTTGTCCAGGTCACTGTTTTTTTTACCATAGGGCCACATTTACAGTAAATACAAACAAGCTCTCACACGAAGAGTCACTGTGGTCAACAGTGAATGAAGTCGGTTTGTTTTTGGACTGTGGGACTGAACTGTAGAGAAAATCCAAACACCAGGATGGAGAAAAGTCACCAGTGGAGATTGAACTGACGGACATGGATGGTTGGATGGATGGATGGATGGATGGATGGATAGATGGATAGATGGATGGATGGATGAACATTACACTTAACACATCATCTCTAAAATGAAATAAGAATATTTTCCTACATTTACTTTACACATTAACAAAAAGTGTGTATCATATAATCTAATATCTGCCACTCTGCAAAGATATTTATTTTTGTACATGTAAAGAATGTGCCACTCTGCAAAGATTTACTATTTATATATTTATTTTTGTACATGTAAAGAATGAATGAGTGAATGAATGAATGAAGTCCAGTCACGTTTCACTGAACATTTACATGTGAAAGGCGACATCAGCTCAACAGACAACTGCAGTGTTTATAAGAGAAAACTCCACCGCTGTTGTTGAAGGGGGAGGTTCAATTCAAGGTCGTACTTTTCATTTACTTAATGATAATGAGACCAATTTTCAGTGATTATACATCATACGGTGCGCCTGCAGCATGTGTTTAAATCAAAGGCCGT